AGAAAGAGTTAGGAGCCCAGAGGAGGGGGTCAAAGGAGGTGAGGTTAGGGGCAGAAAGTGGACAAGAAAGTAGACGACAGAACATTGTTAGAGAAAGGAGGTGAAAGGGGAACACTTTTCATCGCTGTCCAGTTTAGGACCCGGAACCTATTGAAAGAGAGGCGAACACCGCAACCTCTCGACCACAAGAGCTACAAGGGCTCTTCGACATGAGAACACATAAGGTCTATCTGAAAATAATCTGACATCACTTAGACAATAACATATTATTTATACATTCAAAAAGAGATATTTTTTTTTATGAGCGCCGGGTAGCAAAAGACTTCAAGAGACAATTGGGAGTTCCTTTCAGTGTTCAACGTGTCCAGAATGAATAAAAGATACGTTATCTTCAAAAATTGAAACAAACACGCAAGACACATAGATCACTTGCAACTTTTAGGGGAGCTGCTTTGCTCCACAAATGGTAGGAAATATTGGTTAGGGCGACTGTGTGAGTAGAATTTTAGGTAAATGCTACTTGCTACTTTGAACTACCCCCCCCCCTCATCCTTTTTCCATTTCTTAAAACTAACGCTCAGTCATAACACCATCGAGTTTCAAATGGCTCCACCAAGTATGGATATGTGTGCAAGGTATATATTCCGAATGGGGGTCTAAAATTCAATTTTACCAATTTTTCTATACAGCGTATAGGTAATAATCGCGTCGTTTTCAGAGCTTTTGCGAGTCTCAATTTGGTGAATTTGCAAAGGTTAACGCATAGCCAGGTGTTCCAACATCGTCACAACGCACACCCGGTGGGGTTTTTTTTTTCTTACTCCTTTTTAAAAATAAACAAAACTTTATACATAATCAAATAGCTAGAAACATAATCCATCTGAAATGCTGGCCTATCAAATGATTCGACACATTTTTGGCCAAAGAGACACAGGTTCATGTTTACCAACTCCAACATCAGGCATTGTGGCATCTGCTACATGTCTGTGACACTTAGGCTATTTCGAAAGTGGACCAGCTTCGGTGGGTTAAATGATCGGGCAGGCAGGCATTTTGGCTTTAAAGTGTGTCAGTCAAGATCATCGAGGCAGACCCTTTCAGTGATTAGCTGGGTTATTTTGACCCTTTATGTCCAAAGATCGTCTCACCCAGATTTCTACACCGAATCTGGTAGAGGTGGTGAAGAAATTGCAAACATAATAATGATATATGAAAAAAAAAGAACCAGATGTACTAAGACGAAATTGGATAAGGCAGCCGCATATTATTAACATCATTTCTGAAACAACATTTCATTTGCTGGTAAATTTCCTGTTCTATTCTAATCCAATATAGGCCATATATAATGTGTATGTATATGTGTATGCCTGTAAGTGTGTATGTATGTGTATGTGTGGGCGTGTGCATGAGTGTGTGTGTGTGTGTGTGTGTGTGTGTGTGTGTGTGTGTGTGATGAATCCACCAGAGACTGACACCTGTGTTCGTGCGTGAGTGAGTATTTATAAATAATACATGTGTCTCTGTGTGTGTCTTGTGTATTTGAGTGTGTGTATATGGGTGTGTGTGTGTGTGTGCGCACGAGTTTGTGCACTAGCGTGTGTTTGAATATAAATTCTAATGTGTGTATGGGTGTATCTGAGTGGGAATGTGCTGTTTTGGATTTGCGTGTTTTGGCCGGGAAGGAGGTTGGGTACCTTGAAGATGAAAAGATAACACCACGCTCATGAAGTAGCCTCCTCAACGTAAAGCTCTGTAGACGAAATATTTGACCCTATAGAAGTCTCTTGAATGATGTAGAGAAGGGACTATTAAACCTCTTATTTTGTTAAACATTGAACCGTTTCTTTTAAGGTGCGGGAGTATCTTAAAAGGGCCGGCTGCATCTCGGGGTGGCAGGGCGTCAACGCCATGAGAGGAAATGATAACATTCAAAATTCTGTCTGTAACCTGTTCTATACAACCTTCCAACAAGAACAAGATATCAAAACGTTGAAAGCTTATTAAGTTCATTATCCTTACTTCACCGTTTGCCGACAAAGTGCTAAAAAAAAACGAAAAAAGTCCCTTCATTTAAACACTCTAAATAATATACGATATATTAATTATACCGTAGATTAATTTGAAAATAATGTATTTAAATGGCAAATTCCAACGATTGCAACTAAGCAGAGTGTTTCTGGAGAGAATTTTAAAGCTTTGTCAAATACAATGAGACATTGAAATTCGACCTTTTGGTCTTGAGACAAAATCAATTTGACACTATTCTGTCTTGAATACTTTATTTATTGATTGTTGTTTCTGTTGTGTGGTGACTAAGGTCAAGGTCGACGTGTAACCCTATCAATAATGAAAGGAATGAATACCATTGCTGTTGAGACATTTGTTTTCTGGTGACAGGAAGGACAAAATACGAAAAAAGCTCCAATTCATCCCTCCAAATGTATATATATGAAGGTTGGTTTTGTCATTTGGCGAAATGATACATACATTATATATGTAACCACCACCACCACCACCACCGTCATCATCATCATCCTCATCATCATCTTAAGATAAGATAAGATAAGATAAGATAAGATAAGATAAGATAAGATAAGATACATCTTTATTGTCCAGATCCTGGCACATTGGTTTGGTGTTCCACCACGAGTACACACACACACACACACGCACACACCCACACCCACACACACACACACACACACACACACACACACACACACACACACACACACAAACACACACACACACGTACACACGTGCACGCACATGCACACACAAGTAGGCTTACAATCACATACATAATATAAATGAGCAGCAATATAAACAATAATAATCGTAAGCTAGATACACACTTAATGTTATTTTGATGCCTGCTCTAAGGTCGTAAGTACACTAAACAAGATAGATGGTTAAGATGGAAGCATTTTGATAGATGATGGTAAAAATGACCTTCTGTATCTTTCTTTGTTACAGATCAGAAGCATGGGTCTTTTACTTCTGGCTGATGTTTTTATTTGAGGGAACAAGGGATGTTTGTTGTCTAAAAAGATGGAATTAATTTTCTTAGTGCAAGCTGTTATGTACAATTCATCCAAGTAGGGGAATGAAGATGTTGAAATTTTACATGCTTTCCGTATTAGTCGATTTAATTTTTCTTTATCTTGTTGTCTTGTGTTCCCGGCCCATGCTGTTATACAAAAATTGATAATACTTTCTATGGTTGAATGGTAGAACATGGACATCAATGTTTTATCAACTTTAAAATACTTTAGCTTTCTTAGAAAAAAGTCTTTTGTTCACTTTTTTATGCAGGAGAGAAGTGTGGACACGCCAGTTGAGTTTGTTGTCTATTGTAACACACAAATACTTATAGTCTGACACTTGCTCGATGTTTTCACATTTCATTTTGAGTGGCTGCAGGGGCAGTTTCTTTATTCTAAAATCAACGACAAGTTCTTTTGTTTTGTTCACATTTAAAAGCAGCTTATGATTTTCACACCATTCAGAAAAATTAAGTACAAAATTCCGGTAAGCGGTTTCGTTATGGTCAGCCTGAATTAGCCCAATTATAGTTGAATCATCTGCAAATTTTATCAACTTTTTATCTTGTCCCCATTTTCGCAACCATTTAACATCAATTAACATCCAACTTCTACTTCTCACTCACCGAACTTTTCTTCACAAACGCAGAAGAATAATATTTCATATCATGCCTGGCAATGTCTTATTTTGCATGACACGACTGGTAACCATCATGGTTCAAAGCAAAGTTGTTAATAACAAAGGAGAAGTTTACACCAAAAACTGACACTGATCGTCAGCCATAACGGCGTACGATAATATCATATTTTTATTAGTTACAGTCATCGTACATTCATAAATCTACATTAATTTAATATTGTACCCATCGTAGTTTTAATTGAAAATATTTTACGACTCAATCGAGTGAGTTCAATTCTCGTATGAAGTTGGTTTTTTGTTTGTTTTGTTTTTGTTTGGGTTTTTTTTCTTGTTTTGTTTTTTCCCCGTCATACTGCTGGAAGGGGGTTCTCATGGTCGAGAGGTTACGGTTTTCGCCTCTCATTCAACAGTTCCCGGGTTCGAATCCGGACAGCGACGGAAAATTTCTTTTTTTAAATTGTCTCCTTTCACCTCCTTTCTTGTTCTCTAACAATTTTCTGTCGTCTGCTTTCGTCTCCAAAGCCTACTCGGATACGGGCGAAAAATCTAGGAGGTCCCGTGTGCACGTTGCGCACGATAAAGATCCCTTGGTGGTTCAAAATCGATTAGAATAGGCTTCGGCCGCCACCCGGGCAAAATTTAAGAGATTCTTACCACCTGAACTTGTTTGATGCGTCCCATGCGCTCACATGACCTTATGCAATTGCAAACATCTACCTAACAAAAAATCTACTGGAATATTGTACCCACTGTTAACACGGGTTGACCGTGCCAGACAAGGTCGAAGCAGTCCATTTCGCATATCATTGAAGGACTTTTCTATTTTAATGAAAACCAAGTGATTGATCCTTGGCTCTAAGTAACATGAGACAGAAAAAGGATACGTTCTCATTGAATAGTCTTTTGAGCCTCAACGTTTTATTAATTTTGCTCTTTGTATTGTGTTTTTGGTTATCATTTCGCTCTCAATATCACTCTCATTGTTTGCTGGAAGCTTGCGACTCCAAAGAGGAAATTATGATTCATGTTATCCTTGATTCTGACGTAGTAGTTGAAGAGGATTGTCGTGATACTTATCCCGGTAATGATGCTGATTTGAAAATTTAATGACCTCGCCCTTCCGTATCTCTAGAAAAATTGAAAATATAATAATTGAATTGATTATTTATTCAATTCTATAAGTAACCAATATAAATAATTATTTTAGACGACAGTAGCAGCGAAGAGATGAGGCTGTACACCTTCTCACCTAATGCCTATTGATAATAAAATTAACGTCTTGCATCTTCAATTAAACAACAAAACACACACTGAGATCGATTTACATTACTAGATTTCTAGTCAATTTATTTAGAAAGACGTCATCATCAATAACAACAACAACAACAACAACAACAACAACAACAACAACAACAACAACAACTGCACAAAAATGATTCTATTAGCTTTCTTATCATTAATTTATTAAACAGGCCAAGCTACGTAATCGATAGAATTGCCCAGTATGGAAGGAGAGTTCTTCACTGTAGCCCTCAGCAATGAACGAGATAGCAAACCTCTTAGTCCAGTGAGGCAGCTGATGGTTCTTGTAAATGTTTTATGCTACATCCATTGAACTTAAATTATTAAGGAAAAGCACTTTTGTCAATGAACAAGGTTCGAATCTCATGTTGGACATTTTTGAGCTAGTGAATTCTCAAGGCTCTCTACCCATTTGTATTATTGTAGGTGTTTCAAGCCCGATTGTTACAATTTAGATAAATTATGGGACAGCTGATCATTTGGCTCGGACTGATCGGAGATGGACTGTACATTCGGAGGTTGCACTTCTTGTTTAACCTTACAATGTTGAACAGGGCGTGAAGCCCAAATAACTACCAATAAACATCAACAGACAATGGAAACAATCGATAAACTAGCTTTTCGACCGAACGAATCAAAATTACACCTTTTTTGCACAAGTTTTTTTTTATCACATAATGGATTTTATGGTTAGTTAAGAAAATGTCAGAGTGTAGCAAACAATGGTCACGCCACAGCCTGGTCATGCTGGACTCCTAGAGAATCACGGGCCATTTTCATTTGGCGATTTGACAATTGAATGCACTTCCTATTCCCACCCCTGAAAAAAAATTGAAAACAAAACTAATCAATTAATTAATCACAAACCAATATCACAGAAAATCGGTGACGATGTCAGTTACCTGCATTCAGTTAGCAGGTAATGCGCATTAAGATTTACACTGTGATTTTGGGTTCTGGTTATGCATGTAGATATCGACTTTGGGCTATTTGGATGTCCCAATCTCCTTGGAAAATTGTCCTCAGATCCCAAGTTCCAGTCTTGGGAATCGCTCAGGATTATGTGTATGTCCAATGAATCTGGAGAAGGTATCCCAGAAGACTTTACTCACTTCTGGCTCGCTGTCAGGGGGAGGAAACTCGCTGTAAGCGTCTTTCCGCATCAACCGCAGAAGGTCACGTGACAACTGGGCGTCCTGCATCGGCTCATACAAGAAGAGATGGAGAACCTGACGACGAGACGTGGCCTCCTCCATGAGCGCCATCTGCAGAGAGTACTCAAACCACTCGTTGTCCCGGTAGCCTGCGGACAGGATGAAGACGGTGAAGGTGCTGCTCTGTACGGCGCTCACGATATTGCAGGGGATGAAGGAGCCAGGCAGAAAGTCTTTTGCCTCAATGCACACTTTATGCCCTCTGCCCTCAAGCTCACGGTAACACTCGGTGACGACGAAATCCTCAACATCCTGCGAGTGCACGAGATAGGCGTCAAATTTGTAGTTGGCGTTGTTTTCGTCCGGCTGTCGCATGCCGTAGTACCTGGCAAGAATGATATTCTTCCAGTAAAACAACCGCCACCGGTTCCGGACCAGGAGGGCGGAAGTGATAATGACGAGAGCCACACCCACGGATGACGCACTCAGGGACACGATGTAGGCGTGGGACACACACGAACGTCGCAGCACCTGAAACCGTGTTTTGATATCGCCTATTGGGGAGATCCGCTGGTCTTTGTCGCGACACTTGAGAAAGTCTTGGTCCAAGATTCGGACCCGGGTGAAGGCGATCCAGCTCAACAGCTCCAACCCATTACACGTGCACGACAAGGGGTTGTTCTCAAGTGCCAGGGTCACCGTATGACTCATCGCTAACGTGTCAAGGTCATCGCGGCTACGTTTACTTATCCAAGACACTGAGTTTCTTCGCAGATCCAGAAAACTGAGTGACGCCATGTGGGACAACTTGATGTCCAGAGCCTGCAGGTGATTGTCTGCAAGGACAATAACCTTGGCCTTGCTCATGCTTTGGAATATATTATAAGGGAATCTATAAATGCTGTTGTGCGAGAGATCCAGATAAGTGACACTGTACGCGCGGGCAAATGTATTCCCATGTGTGTCTCTCCCTAGTGAATCGCCCAAATAGTTTCTTTGTGCATTCAAAACTGCCAACTGGTTTTGAGCAGGCAAAAAGCGCATACTGATTATCTCACATTTGTTATCGGACAGGTCAGCAACTACAGTAGAAGTCGGAAGCTGCAGTGTGCCCCAGGAGGCCAGATAGCCATTGGAAAAATAGATTTCTTTCAAGGGATAACCTTTCCACCGTAAAATATTCTCACCAAATTGGAAGGCGTTGTTGGCTCTAAATATCGGAAGGGAATGTAGAAATTGTTTTGTTGCAGCTCGTAATCTCAGGGATAAGTCCTTATGCGTGGTTCTGGTGTGTGTGCTCAAGAAGTGACCCATTCTCTGAGCTGAGAGCCACATTCTGATTGGACTGAAATCATATGTGGCCAGAGTCTGCGTAGTGTTCTGCTTGTGTCTGCCAGATAAGCGAGGATCTGAAGGCTTAAACAAATTAATCTGATCACTCAAGTCAAACTCCACCAATCCACGGATCTTTCCACGTAACAAACTCTTGACAAGGTTTACAAAGTGAAGTCGATTGGCTTTAAAACTCAAGTACTTAAGGCTTTGGGGCAAATGTTCCACAAACCTAGGTTCAATGAAGAACAGATGTAACCCTTCCATTTTCAAAATTTCCAGTTTGGTCAAACCCTGGAATAATCGAGACTCGTTATAGCCTATGACTGACATGATGTATCCCCCTTGATAATGAAAGCTTTCAAATGACAGAGATTTCAAAGTTGAGTTATTCAACGACGGTACTAGGTCTAGTGCCTGGCGAATAGTTATACCCGATGGCTCGGACAGCACAAACTCCTCTAAATGCATTAATGATCTCAAAGCGATGGGGTCTATAGAGAACAGTTTACACCGTACTATTGCAAGTTTTTTAAGATAGATCAAGTTTTCAAACATTTTTGGTGTAATGGCTAGCAAGGTGCAGAAACCGTTCCCGCCAACATATACAGAGGAGAGCTGAGAAAGGTTTCTAATTTCAGGACCAAAGTAGAGGGTTTTGATACCATCTACGTAAAGTTCCGTCAGATTGTGTAGAACAGACAAACCTTGAGTGGGCACGTTTTTTCCATTTCCAGCGCCAGCGATGTCCAGTATGAAGAGTCGCCTGAGCGGTCGGAAAATGTCGGGGGTCATTCTATAGTATGACCACCCGATGTTACGCGATAGGCGAAGAATAGAGAGACGTTCAAGCGATCGAAAAGCACCAGTCTCGATGTGGCTCAGTCTACCGTAAGAAAGATCTAAAACTTCTAGCTTTTGCAAGCCGGAAAAGGTAAAGTTTGTGAATCGTGGGACACGCATGTGTGCTGCAAACAAATGTGTGAGGTTTGGGAAGTGTTGGAAAGCGTTGTCAGTTATCTTCTCCACTTGATTAAACGATATGTCCAAAATGGTCAGCGGACTCTTGTAGTTGGACAGTGTCATAGGAGCCCCATCGATAGATGACAATAAATTGCTGGACAAATTTAAAGCCAGAAGTGCTGGGTAAATAGAGAGGTTCTGTGACTTCAGTTGTCGGATGCTGTTGCCAGATAGGTCAATGCTTTGAGACACTGTGGGAAGCCAGTCAGGGATTGTGTGATACGTCCTACCAACATGCTCAAACTTGCAGTCAGCTAGAGTTGCGGTCCTTGACACATTGGCACAGACGCAGGTCCCGCACCGGAAATGGTTCAAGGGAATGCTATAGTCCAGCAGTTCAGCGATTGTCTCTGGCAGAGACTCTAATGGCTGAGATGGTTTAGGAACCGCATCTGCCTCTAGCACACCATGAGACAGGTTAATGTCATATCGGCTGTCACTTCCTGGAAATTGTAAGTGGCTTCCAAAAGTTGGGACCTGATCCGGGTGTCTCCGCGCTTTGCCCGCTTTCACCTCGAAGGACTTGTCGACAGTGCCTCCATGGCACTTCTGGGAAAAAGCAGCTAGGACGACCGTGAGCAGGGCTGGTCCAAACGAGCAAAGTTGTAGACTCAACATAGCCAAACGTAGCTGTAATGAGAGACAAAGAATTTATTACATGAGTTGTGGTGTAAGATCATGATTTATCCTACGAGTGAAATTGTCATGTTGTAATCATGAGTTTCAACGAGTGATTACAACTGGCAATTTCACGAGTAAGATAAATCATTGTCTAACACCATAACGAGAGTAATACATTTTTTATACCATACCGATATCAGCTGGCGAAATACATCCGTTCCAACAAAGTTCAAATGACTAGCGAACTGGACAAGAGAATGAGAGTCCCTTCTAGAGTCTCACATGAAAACAACATTTTCATGCCCATCGGAGTCAAATTGAGAATTGGGAAAAATCTGGATTGTTTTCCTTTACTTTTAGCCACACTAATTTACAAGTTGGGCTATCCGTATGTCTGCCTCCGCGAAACAAACCCCAAACAAAACAATAATAACGTAAATATAAGCAAAGTAATCAGAAAACGTACGATTCAAAAGATGAAATAAACTACATTAATATGGCATGCTGTCGTTAGAATAGAGATGACTTATATTTTTACTTTAAACTTTGTAACCAAAACAAACCAAAGACAAAGAGTTATTCTCTAGATTCTAGATCAGATCTAATCCAAGATCTAGCGCATTGCATTACATTGGCCAAATTTTTTTTTAAAATGCTTTTCAGTAACAAAAATTGTCAAGTTATTTAGAAACGAATGTGCTGATTCCACTTATGTTGTTAGATTTTGTCTATCAGCTCAGGGTTTTGCAGAATTCACATAAATCTATTCGATTTCCGATATTCTTGATTTCGTAAGGGGAAGAAAGAATATCAGAATAACAAGGGCAATAACTTTTTACTTTTTTAAAAGTAATTAACCAACTCATATTTTGTCCAAAAATTTAATTAACCAACTCGTATATTGTCTAATATCATATTTTTCCATTACACATTGTTTTAAAATTTAAATTTCTTTCATTTCTATAGTAGATTGTTTAGTATGTAGACATAGAATTAAGGAAAACAAAAATTTGAAAAGCAATGCAAGTTAGCTAAACAGTGGGTTTTTATTGTTTGATAAAGTGATTTTCAATTTTAAGAAAAAAAAGTAATTACTTGATGATCATATTATTCAAGCTGATCTAGATCTAGATCTAAGTGGTTTCCGCTACACTATTTAGTTGTGTTGTAGATCTATCATTTTGAGAATTAAAATCTAGTGTCCACTGTCCACCCACTGTGTTTATCTGGTGAGCTGCTAGATATCTACAATGTCTGGACGGAAAAAGCAATTCCCAAACGTCAGTTGTACTAATTAAGTTGAAAGAGGGCAGTTTAGCTGCACCTGACTAGTCACATTATTATGATGACCCTTTGGAACTAATGATTATTTTATTCGAGAAAAAGATGTTACTTAATGAACTTATGGTGCCCATCATTTGACTCTATTTGAAACAAAATTAAGGGCAAAGTAGAACGATTTGCACCTATACTCGACTAGATCTATTAGGGATAGCGAGACTGGGAGACTAGAGTTTGTTTGGGTGCCCATGGTGAGCGCGCTTCGCAGCGAAGTTTTCAAGTTTTAACTACTTTGCTTACAGAGGGATAGCAGTAGAAGGCGAATATAATACGCGGAGTAATTTATGCAAATTTTTATGTTTCACGTGTGATATACCAGCTTAGCCAGCCTATATTTCACGTGTGAAATAATAAATAAGGATATATTTTACCGGAAGTGCAATGCTAAAACAACTCCAAGTATGGTACAAAAAATCTATCTATCTATCTATCTATCTATCTATCTATCTATCTATCTATCTATCTATCGAGAGAGAGAGAGAGAGAGAGAGAGAGAGAGAAAGAGAGAGAGAGAGAGAGAGAGAGAGAGAGAGAAAGAGAGAGAGAGGGGGGGGGAATGAAAAGAGGGGAGATGCATATCTCTTCTCAGCCTTGTGGGGGAAATGTATGCAAAGATCCTAGAGCAACGCACTCGCGCAAAAGCCGAACATCTCAGCGACGCCCAGTTTGATGTTTAAAAAGGAAGAGGGTGCATTGATGCAATCTTTGCACTAGGACAACTGTGTGAGGGGACATTGGAATACGACCAAGATCTCCATCTCGTTTTTGTGGATCAGGAAAAAGCCTTTGATCGAGTAAATAGAAACAGGCTATGGAAGATCCTTGAGCAGTACGACATCAAGGGACAACTGCTATACAACATCAGGGCTATCTATGCCAACAGCAGAAGCACAGTCCGCACTATCAGTGGAACATCGGAGTGGTTTCCAGTAACATCTGGAATCAGGCAGGGCTGCAATCTCTCGCGTCTGCTCTTCGTGATCTACATGGATCAGATTATAAAGGAAGCCAATCCAGACCCGGATGCACTCAATGAACTCATGTTTGCGGACGACCTGGCAATGATGAACAACAAGACTCAACTACAGGAGCATATGAACCAACTAAAGGTGAGCTGCCAGATGTATGACATGAAGATTAGTGTTAGCTAGACCGAGGTTATGATAGTTAGCAGGAGACCAGACAAAGTGGGTATCAACATCAATGAATCCCAACTAAAACAAGCAGCGAATTCAAATACTTGGGCAGCATTTTCACAGGAAATGGAAAATTAGATCGAGAAATAGAGGCTAGATGATAGAAAGCCAATGCAGTCAGCTATCAACTCGTCCCTCTCCTGAAACATCCCAATATCCCCATGAGCACCAAGGCGAAGCTCATCAACGCCATTTAAAACTAACACCAACATATCAGTGCCAGACATGGTCCTTAACAAAAGCCCTAGAGAGGAAGCTGGCCACATGCGAGATGAAATGTTTAAGAAAAGCGTTAACAAAACAAGAAGAGACCACCAAAAAAATGAAATCATAAGGGACACGGTAGGAGTTACACCAGTCCCACCACACATTGAAAAACAAAAGATCAAGTGGTTCGGACACCTCATACAGCTGCCCCCAAACAAATCAGCTCTGGGGGCATATTAATATAACATCGAATGTTTTGTCTGGAGAGCAAGAGGAAGACCAAGGCAACGCTGGAGTAAATCTGTAGCAGACACCCTCAGAGCTCACGGGATGTCTCTCCTACAGGCTACTCGCCTTGCTTCCGACAGACACCTGTATCTTCCAACGACACCCACCGGCACAAGCAGAAGAAAAAATTAAAAGTAAGTAAGAAAAGAGGGGACTTGGAGTTGAAGAGGAAAATAGAATAAGAAGAGAAAAATAGAAAGGGGCAACGAAAGGGATACGGGATGGATGGAAAAGGGTATTAGAGAGGAGGAGTGAAATGGGCTTGGAGGGGGTTGGGGCTGAAATTGAGAATGGAAAGGAGGGCGCAGGTATAGTCGAAAAAAGCAGGGAGGGGGTGGTTGCTGGAAAGGGAAAGTGGAAAAGGTGAATAAGCTAACAAAGAGCAATGTAAAAGAACCGGTTGGATGTAAAGGGGTAGTGAGAGAGTGTAGTGGAATGGAAAGAGGGGGTGAGAGGGAGAGTGCCGGAGGGGGGGGGGGGGGGCGAGAAATTAGAATGGATCGATTGGGGGAGGGGACTCATAGGTGGAGAGTGTGCGGAAAGGGACGAATGGACAGGGTACAGGTGAAAAGGCACGATATTGGGAAAGAAATAGTGAAAGATAGAGTGGGTAGATGAGGGAGTAAAATAGTTACATATAGGGTGGATAGGTGAGGGAGTGGATTAGAGACAGAGTGGATATGTGTATAGAGGTGGATAGGTGAAAGAGTGGAATAGAGACAGATAGAGTGGACAGGTGAGGGATTGGAACAGCGAGAGTCAGAGTGGATAGGTGAGGGACTGGATTACAGACAGGTAGAATGAACAGGCGAGGGAGTGGAATAGTGAGAGATAGAGTGGATAGGTGGACAGGTGAGGGACTGGAATGCGGTCAATACTGTAAAGCTGAAGTGGGAGAACAGGAAAAAGGAATGAGAATGGGGGCGGGGGATGAAAACGTGGAGTGGAAAATAATTCCACCGTAAAAGAAGTGGAATGGCACCTGGAGGGTGGGATGGGTGTGAAAGTAGAGTAAGATGGGGATGTACGAACGTGGCAATGGTGGTAGGAATATGAGGGGTGGGGAGATCATGAATTTAAGAATAGTAAAAAATTGTAGCATAAAGGAGGTCTGGAAAAGGTAAAAGATACGGGAATGTAGGTTAAAAGCGGGAGTAGAGTAGAATCAAAAACTTCCAACAAAACAAGTAAATACAAAAGTACTAAATTTAAAAGGAAAATATAGTATTAAAAAAAGAAGTCAATAAAGAAGTTAATATTAAAATGAAATAAACCTTACCGTAGAAAGACCAAAGTGAATATTTCACTTTCCAGACTAAACTATAACTGTCTGTGTCCGAGCAGATTCGTGACCGGGCAGGTTACATAATGAGTGGCAGTTTCCTGCTAGGGCTCAATGTTAAGTGCTTGTAAACAACACGAGCCAACACAAGTGGCTTTTGTTAACCATTGTCATTATTTCTATCGTTATTTATCATTGTTCTTACAGGCTTCTATGGCATAACGGTTACGCTCTTCGCCGTCGCATGCAGAGAACCTGAGTTCGATTCCTTAGTGGAAAGATTCTTCATCCAGTAATTGATTTTATTTTCTGCTTGAGAATTGTATACCAGTCAGCCTGTGTCAGCCATGACGGGCAAAGCCGAACCCCGCCTCCAAAAGCCCTTTGGGTTGTAAATATATACATTTAAGAGCAAATTATTCTTGTGAGTATTACTGTAACTATTTGTTTAAAAATTAATTATTCCTCCGCACATAGTTTGCGGCGTTCAATTTACGAGGTGTTCTGAACCAACTGATTTCTGGAATTTCATTAGTTTTGTGTTTTTGCGTAACCCTAACCTCTCAGTAACTTTTGGCTCATTGCATGACTGCAAAAACGTAGTGCTTACAAGTTTCTATAAAACTTATAGATTTTTGTTTAGAATATAGACTAGATCTATGTTTCTAACTGTTGCAAAGTCTAAAAAAAAACCTTCTGACCAACTACCGTTAAATGGAATTGACAAGCTTAAGTCCTCCGTCACACTGTTCACTGTTTAAGAACTCGAGGGATAGGAAAAGAAGGCATAGTGAAGCAGCATCGATAAACTGAGATCTAACATTGCTAGAAATAATTTTATTTGGCCGCATCTGCTTAACTTGTTGGTACATTCATCGTAAGTTCAAAGTATTTTTAATGCATGAAACTGAGAGGTAAGCGTAGTTAGTAACTTTTCTACCCTGATATAATATTTAATATATTTCTATAGCAATCTGTTCGTTAAGTGAACACAAATTTCCAGGCAGTGCCACCGACGATTTTTACGATGCTATTTGAACTATCTTTGGGGTAATCCGGTAGAAAATGCTGATATCGATGCATCTAAAAATGTCATGATTATCGGCTCCGCCCCCGTGTTGTTGGCAAGGGCACTGTGCTCCCTCACCATCTTCATCACCACCGCCACAAACACTACCACTATTAACACTCATAGCAAAATTATCACCACCAGTGCCATCAAAACCATCAAAACATCGATCATCGTAACCATTACGACCACAATCACCACCCAAACCATCACAACCAAAATCAAAAACACAACCACACCATAACCACCACGACAACTATTAACACCACTACAACAACGACCATCGCAACTATAGCCGTCATCACCATAACAAACATCACAACCACAACCACCTCACAACAACCACCATAACGACAACCCCAACCACATCACAACAAGCATCATAACCACAACCACAACCATATCACAACAATCATCATAACGACAACCACAACCGAAGGCCCTACAAGTTAGCACGACGATATCAATGGCCACCGACGCCATTACAACTACCTATGACAACGACAACCACAACCATTATCACCACTATCCCCACGTTCACCACCATCACAATCCCCACCACCTTCACCACTTCAATCATAACCGCCATCGCATCCAAAACCACAACCACTACCCTCACCACCATCACCACCACCATCA